AGCTGAGGAGGGCACTGCTTTTCTCTCTTCTTTTGCAAGTGCAGGAGAACATTATTTTTTTCTTTTTTCCATCCTTCCTTCCTCGCTTTCTTCACTCTCTCTTTTTAATTTTTCTTTGAGATGGAGTTTCTCATCACCTAGGCTGGAGTGCAATGGCGCGATCTCGGCTCACTGCAACCTCCACATCCAAGGTTCAAATGACTCTCCTGCCTCAGCCTCCCGAGTAGCTGGGATTACAGATGCCCGCCACCACACCTAATTTTTGTATTTTAAGTAGAGACGGAGTTTCACCATATTGGCCAGGCTGGTCACGAACTTACCTCTGGTGATCCACCTGCCTCGGCTTCCCAAAGTGTTGGGATTACAGGCATGAGCCACTGCGCTTGGCCTTCTTTTTAATTTTTTTTTTTTTTTTGCTAAGTGCTTTATTAGATATAATTTGCACACTCATTTGTCCATCCATTTAAAGTGTTCAGTTCCACAGTTTTTAGTATATTCAAAAACTTGTGCAACTATCATCACAATTTGATTTTATTTTTATTTATTTACTTTTTAGAGACAGGGTCTTGCTCTGTCGCCCAGGGGCTGGAGTACAGTGGCGCAATCACAGCTCACTGCAGCCTCGAAATCCTGACCTCGAGCAGTCCTCCTGCCTCAGCCTCCCTGAGTGCTGGAATTACAGGTGTGAGCCCCGTGCCTGGCCCTCAGTCAGTTGGAGAACATGTTCATTTCCCCACAGAGGAGGCCTGTAGCCTGGGGGGTGGCACATGGCCCTCTGTGCCTGGCTTCTCTCACTGCGACGTCCTCAAGATTTACCCACATGGGGGGCCTGTGTCACAGCCCCACCCCTGTTCGTGGCTGTGTCATACTCCACCGCAAGGTTGGACGTGTTGTGTTGATGCCTTCTTCCACTGGTGACATGTGGGTTCTTTTCACCTTTAAGGGCTGTTGTGAATTGTGCTGCAGGGGAACATGGTGTACGAGTTTCTGCATGGACGGGTGCTTTCATTTCTCTGGGGCAGATCCCCAGGGGTGGGATGGCTGGATCAAGTGGGATTGATGTGTGGCGTTTCCGGGAACCTCCAGGCCACCCTGCAGAGCAGCTGCCCTCCATCACCCTCCTGCCTGCCTGTGTTTGAGGGCCCCGGTTTCTCCGCATCCCCGCCCACACTGTGACCATCTGCCGTTCTGATTCTGGCGTCCTGGTGGGTGTGGGGTGGTGGCTCATCGTGGCTCTCACGTGCATTTCCCTGGCACTGAGTGCCGCTGGGCACCTTCTCCTGTGCGTGTTGCCTGTTTGCTTTGGAGAGCTGTCTACCCAAGTCTGTGGCCTGTTTTTTTGTTCGTTTGTTTTTGAGACAGGGCTTCACTCCTGTTGCCCAGGCTGGGAGGCTGGAGTATAGTGACGCGATCTCTGCTCACTGCAGCCTCCGCCTCCTGCAATTCTCCTGCCTCAGCCTCCCGAGCTGGGATTACAGGTGCAGACTACCATACCTGGCTAATTTTTGTATTTTTTATAGAGACGGAGCCTCACTATCTTGCCCTTGCTGGTGTCAAACTCCAGCCTGCCTCGGTCTCCCAAAGAGCTGGGATTACAGGCATGAGCCACCATGCCCACCAGCCTTGCTGCATTTTTATTGGGCTGCTTGTCTTTGGCTGTGAGTTGAGACCCCCCCCTCCTTGGCGTGGCCCCGTCTCAAGTGTGTCGCTGTTTGCAGGCAGCTCCTCCAGCCCTTCCAGGACGTCTGAGCCCCCGAGCCGTCGTGTGCCACCTGTCTGCCGTGTTCTGGTGATGTGGAGGTCGGCCACAGGGCCGCATTTCAGGACATCCCCTCTTCACCGTCGAGCTGTGTTGCGTGTGCGTCAAGGTTATGGAGCGTGGGGATTGTTAACCATTTTAGTTTTCCTCTTTGTAATGTACCTCCCAAGCAATGTCGTTTCAAAAGGCACAAATGGCCAGGCACGGTGGCTCATGCCTGTAATCCCAACACTTTGGGAGGCCAAGGTGGGAGGATCACTTCAGGCCAGGAGTTTATTAGCAGGCTGGGCAACATGGCAAGACCCTGTCTCTACAAAAAGTACAAAAATGAGCCAGGTGTGCTGGCACACACCTGTGATCCCAGCTGCTTGGGAGGCTGAGGCGGGAGGATTGCTTGAGCCCAGAAGGTGGAGGCTGCAGTGAACCGTGACTGCGCCACTGCCCTCCAGCCTAGGCAACAGAGCCAGACGCTGTCTCAAAAAACAGTAATGATTTTTTAAAAAGTGGAGACAGCTGCCCCTAGGGGGCGTCGGTGGGTGGAGTGCCTGAGCACCTTTGCAGGGAGCGGCTCCAGGTGGAAGGGCTCCCTGGGTCCCCCCAGCGTGGGCTTTGATGCGGAGTCCGCCACACGCCTTTGTCACCCAGCATTGCAGTGTGTGCTGCCAGCAGCTGTGGCCACAAGCTTTTCAGATGAGCCCTTGGCCCTGCGGCGCGGTGTGGGGGGGCCCCCATTTTATTATTTATTTATCTGTTTTTGAGACATCCCTTGGGCCGCCCAGCCCTGCCCCAGGCCCTGTCCTTCCTGGGTGGAGCTGGTGTGGGGAGGACACGGGAGTGCTGCAGGCTCTATACTGCACAGGTCACCCTGCGGCCAGGCCTGTGGGGCAGGCGGGCTCTGATGACCTGGAGGTCAGAGCCTGCAGAGGGTGGGTGGGCCAGCCCCTGACAGGACTCTTGCTTAAGAGCTTCCTGGGAGCTGATGGCCTTTGCAGTGGGTCACTGTGGGCAGGAAGAGGCCATGTATGAGTCGCCTGCAGAGAGGCAGCCAGTGATGAGAGCTGCTGAGTGCAGATGAACCCAGCGCCTCACCAGGTGCCAGAGCGCAGGGGAGACTCTTGCGGTCACGATAGTGCCCTGACGTCACATGCAGCCCGGCCGTCTACCTCCCGTGTGGCCTAGGCCCACGACCGCCCCTTGTGGGCCTCCGCGCCCTGCTCGTAAGCTCAGTCGACTGTGTCACCACCTGTGATACACAGAGCAGAGTCAGGGACCCAGTAAGTGCTGATGTGGGGACCACTGTGGCCACCACCACATATGGGCACTGTCTGCGGCAGATCCAGGGATGGCCTCAGGCCTTCTGCCCAGCCTCTTAGGGCTGGGGACCAGCGGGAGGCCCGAGGGAATGGCGTTCTGCTGCCTGTCCTCCCTGCTGTCCCATGTCCGCCCTCACCAGTGCCCAACGAAGGCTGGCACAGAGGGTCACACAGCGGTCCAGGCACGGCCTCTGCTCCCTCTGAGCTGGTTGGCTCCCTGGGGACAGTCTTGTCTGTTGCCATAGTCCGCTGTCTGGAACGCGCGTGCCTGGGTGAACGCTGCATGGCCTCGTCTGGGTGAGAGCAGGAGGGCAGGTGTGGCGTGCGAGGGATTGCTGGGTGTGCGAGGGATTGCTGGGCCTGTGGGGCTGGCACAGTTGCGGGGAGGATTAGGTCTGGGCCTTGGCTGTGGGTGAGGGGCCTACTGGGACAGTGTGGTGGCCTAGGAGGCCCCGCGTGATCAGAGGCAGCTCCTGTGATTGGGCCATGTGCTGTCCACGGTGCACTCGGGGCCTCCTGTGCAGACACTGGCTTTGTGGCTACCCCACGGAGACGTCTCGAGGACTCTGCTCAGAGCAAGGGTGGCGGGCAGGGCCTCAGCCAGGACAGGAGCTTGGAGCTGCGGGGTTTTGTCAACCCTGGTGGGTCTCTCAGCAGCCGCCTGGCCGGGGGTCAGTACTGGGTATCAGCCCTGTGTGCTGCAGGAGGGGTACAGGGTGGACCCAGGGCAGTGGGGGGAGGCCGGGGGCGCCCCGGGTTTGCTTCCGCCTGGATGGAGGTTCTGGACACCCATCCAAGCCCAGCTGGGGCCGCCGAGCCACCCTGCACGGATTCCTGGGTGCATGCTGCCCTCTAGTGCTCACAGCGGGGAGCGCCTCTGGGAGCGGGTGGCTGTGCCTTGGTGGCCAGGAGCCCAGCTCCTGGGACTGACTGGCGGCTCCCTGCTGTGCCTTCCACGCCCTGGATAACTTCAGGGGTCACAGGGTGGGGAGGTGGATTTTGTTAAGTTTTCCCGAAGTTTTTGGATATGTACGTACTTGGGTCCTTCTTATCATTTCCAAATCCTGGAGGGATTCTGCCTCGAATTTGGAGACTAACCTGCCAAGGAGGACCCTTCCCCAGAGTCCGTGATCGAAGCCTCTTCCTGGTGGGGCTGAGCTACCAGTTCCTGCCAGCTCCTGCCAGCTCCTGCCCGCTCCTGCCCTCTCAGGGCAGGAGGGAGCTGCTCCCGCCCGCAGCCCCCATGGATAGGACAGTGTGGTTCCGACATTTCCAGGTGGTTGCTGGTGGTGAATCACTTGGCCAGGAGACTCGGCCTTGATCCTCCGTTCTGTGTGGGCCAGCTGGTTTATGATCTGCATGACTCTGGGCAGCTGTGATGGTGGGAAATGAGCTGTCCCGACCCGGCCTCCTGCTCTCCTGGGTCAGGGTTCCTGCCGGGGCCTGAGTTCCGCTGGCAGCAGCCAGTCCAGCCCCCTGTGACCCACAGGCCTGCCCTTGAGCGTGTAACCCTCGCCTGTGGCCTCCCTCACATCTGAAAACCTGCAGATGCCTCTGCCCGTCGTGTGATCTGGCTCAGAGCAGAGAGAGCGATCTGCGGCGGACGCCGGCACACCTGGGGCGTCCCTGATAAGAAGGCCGTTCTTCCGAGGCCCCATTTAAAATTAGTGCACTTGCTCCCGGTGTCGTCTTGGCCTTAGAAACTAGGACGCCTCCGCTTCTCGTGAGCTGCAGTGCTCGGGCCCTTTGTGCTCAGCAGAGAGACGGGGTGCTCCTGGTTTTCTCTCCTGCCCCCGCTCGGCCATGAGGCCCGGCCGCCTATGTCCTCCTGGCGGCTGCGGTATTTTTAGACGCTCCGTTCTGAGGGCGGACTCCGAGGGCCGGGCGTGGCGGCACCACTGGTTCACCTCTCTCATCTTCCTCCACAGGTGTGGTTCCCGCACAGCTGCAGCCATGGGGTCTGAGGACCATGGCGCCCAGAACCCCAGCTGCAAAATCATGACGTTTCGCCCAACCATGGAAGAATTTAAGGACTTCAACAAATACGTGGCCTACATAGAATCGCAGGGGGCCCACCGGGCGGGCCTGGCCAAGGTGGGTGACGTCCTGGCCCCAGCGTGGCCCTCCATCAGCCTGCGCCTCGGGGCTGCAGACTTGCCGGGTCCCAGCTCCGCTGGCCCCACCGGCGAGGCCCGTGCACACGGACTGTTTCAGGGCCACTCAGCTCGCAGACACGCACCTGTTGATGGTGTTCTGACAGTGTGCTAGGCACCGTTCTAGGCACTGGACCTGAGAAGTGACCGGTGCAGGCCCTGGCTCCAGGGAGCTGGCAGGTGGTGGTGAGGACACACAGCTGCGCTGCAGTGAAGTCCAGTGGGCAGCAGCCACCGGGGCATTCCGGCGGGGAGCTGATGTGTCACTGAGGGATGGCAGGGGTCTAGGAAGCCTTCCAGGGGTGGTCAGTGCCTGAGGAGGCCTTATTTTCCTAGTCAAACAGTTCTTTTTTATCTGGGTGTGGTGGTGCATGCCTGTGGTCCCAGCTACTAGGGAGGCTGAGGCAGGAGGATTGCTTGAGCCCAGGAATTAGAGGCTGCAGTGAGCTCTGATCGTGTTACTGCACTCCTGCCTGGGTAGCAGAGCAAGACCCTGTCTCAAAAACCAAGTCAAACCAAACCAAAAACAATGTTTTTGAGATGGCAGTAGCTGGGTCAGGGAGCTTCGAACGGCGCAGCAGTACAGGCAGAGAGCAGCCAGTGTCTCCTCCGGGTCCCGACCAGCCCCCACCTTCTCCCCGGAAGCAGCACTGTTACCGGGTCTTCTGTCTCTCCTGGCGTTTTTTGCGTGTGTGTGTGTGTGTGTGTGTGTGTGAATACAGAGACCCCCAACCCCACGTGCTAAGTATCTACAGTACTGTGCTGCTCGGCTGGGCATGGTGGCTCAGGCCTGTAATCCCAGCATTTCGGGAGGCTGAGGTGGGAGGACCGCTGGAGGCCAGGAGTTTGAGACTAACCTGGGCAACACAGTGAGATCCCATCTCTACAAAAAATACAAAAAATGAGCCGGCTGTGCTGGTGGTACATGCCTGTGGTCCCAGCTACCTGGGAGGCTGAGGTGGGAGGATCACTTGAGCCAGGGAGGTTGAGGCTGCAGTGAGCTGAAATTGCACCACTGCACTCCAGCCTGGAGGACAGAGCAAGATCCCGTCTCCAAAACAAAACAAACGGAAAAGTGTGTGCTGCTCTTCTGCACATTTCGCGGTTCCCGAAGGTGGGTGCTTCGGTCCGCGAGTCTCTGTGTTCTGGCGTGAGCCTGTTCGGGCAGTGCTCACCTCTCGTCTGGAAGCCGAATCATCTTTGCACTTGGTTCTTCCAGCTGCCTGCTGTGTGCCGCTCACTGCTCCCCCTCAGCGAGGCTGGGCTGGGCAGGCGCTCTCTACACAGTGCCAGAGGCTGAACACCTGGGCTCTGCGAGCCAGACCGCAGGGCAGCCAGACAGCGTGTAAATGAAAGTGCGAAGCCCTGTGTCAATAAAACTTTATTCCTGAACCCTAGAGTGCAAACTCGTTGTTTTCACGTGTTCTGAAGTGGTATTGTTTTTTCTTTTCCCCCAACCACTTAAAAATGAACAAAAAAAAAGAAAGAAAAGAAAAAAGCCATCTTAAACGCTTATACAGAAGCAAGAAGGGGCTGGATTTGGCCCGAGGGCCGCAGTGTGCTGACACTGAGGCCGCTGCATCTCCTGGCCCTCCCCCGCCCTGCCCTCCTCCCCTGCATCTCTGGCTTTGGATTTTGTCATTAGCGTTCGTCTCTCTCCTAGTGATCTTTCAGTACCAAACTTGCATTGTTAGGTCCTCACCTCCAAGCCTTAGAGTGAGGGCAGCCGTCTGACGCCGTCTTCTGCCCGCCAAGGTGGGTGTGTTTTCTGTTTTGAGGTGAGGTCTGGCTCTGTTGCCCAGGCTGGGGCACGGTGGTGCGATCATGCCTCCTGGGCTCAAGCGATCCTCTAGCCTCTCTGTTCCCGAGTAGCTGGGACCACAGGTGTGCATCAGCAAGCTTGCTGTTTGTCTGTGACACAGCATGACGATGTGGGAATGGCAGCACATCTGTGTCAGGGGCAGAACTGTGCTGGCTGCTGCCCGCCTGGCTTCAGTTCTCTTTTCAAATGCCTTCGGTTCTCCTGTCTGATCTTCAACCATCCTCCCTGGTCCTCCAGGCTGCAGGCCGCCATCCCAGGAAGGGGCCAGGTCCTCCTCCTCTGCTCCCTGGTGCCTGTAGGGCAGTGGGGGACAGGCAGGGCCTCCCCTTATCCGTTCACCTCTGTCTCCTGCCCTTGACCTACTTCTGCGTTTCCCAGGATGCTGCGGCTCTTTCTGGTTTTGGATCCACCGTGTCCTGATGTCAGGGAGATGTGGGAAGTCAGACTGCCTGTGCTCTTTCCTGGGGCACCCTTAAAGGCCCCCCCGGTCTTCTCTCTCATCCCGCACCTCCCACCAGGCTCTGCGGCCCTGGTTCTGCAGCCCTCTTCCGCTACACGGCGGCCTTGGGCACGGCCTCGGTTCCCAGCTGGACTGTTGTCCCCACGCCGGCACCTCCGCTTCGCCCCTCCCTCGTTGGCTCCTTTGCTGCCGCCTCTTTCAGCCCCGATGTTGCTGCTTCAGGCTTCTGCGCCCCCCTCCAGGCCGGTTCCCCTTTGAGATTCTCGGTGCCAGGGTCTTAGGGAGGCCGATGTGGGGAGTGTGGTTTCCTGCCTTGTGTTCTGCGTGTTCCTTCCTGTGCCCCTCCAGCCGCCTCCCTCCCCACGCCCTCCAGCCGCCTCCCTCCTGTGCCACTTTTCCTGGGACGCATGCGGAGAATCCTTTTACAAACCCATGGAGGGGGCTGGGCAGTAGGGGCTGCCTGGGGCCCGTGCCCTGGAGGGAATATGTGTGTGTGTGTGTCTGTGTGCATGTGTGTGTGCATGTTTATGTGCGTGTGTGTGTGTGTGTGTGTGTCTGTGTGTGCACATGGGAGGCGGAGGGGGGAGGCGACTCTCAGCACAGAGAGCTTGGCAGCTACAGAGTCACGTTGGCACCCATGTGTGGCACTCGCACACCCTCTTGTGCAGCTCTGTGGGGACAGATGGGCTCAGGGAAGCATCTGGTTTGGCCCTGGGCAGCCCTGCATCTTCCAAATAGGGGGTCCTTGGCTGGAGCAGCCAGCCTCTTTAGAGAAGGAACACAGGCCACTGCGGGTTCTGAGTGAGCTGTGGGGGTGTCAGGGTCCCCCCTTACCCTGGTCTCCCCACCTTGACCACCCTTTGTGTCTGTGTGTGCGTGCACGCCTGCCTGTGTGGGGTGGGGCTGGAGGGTTTGCTGGTTCCTTCAAAGCTGTATTTGATTATACATCACCACTTGCCCCCAGCGGAGATCTGTAGACCCCATGGAGCTGGGGCGGGGCAGGAGCTTCGGGCACAGCCCCGAGAGGGCGCTGGAGCCACCACTGCCCTGGTTGCTGGGAGGCCCTCCTGCTTTGCTGGGGCCTCCACAGCCAGGTGTCCCCGGCTACTCAAGAAGCACTGGGGTGAGCGGAGCCCCAGGAGACCCTGTCTAGGGTCCTGTTAGGCGGGGTCGGAGCTTCTGGTGCCTCCTTCCAGCTGCCTCCCAGGTGGGCACCAGCAGGGGAGGCCCTGGCCACCCTCAGTTGTACTGCTCACTGGCGTCTGTCTCTCACCGTTGGTGTGTGGCCTGTCGCCCTCCTGGCCCCGGCTGACGCTGGTCCCCCAGGAGCCCTGCGTGAGGGACTTTTGGGGACCACCCCAGGCCTGGAAGTCCCACGTGTGGCGGTGGGATCGCCCTGAGCAGCTTTCACTGCCTTCTTTTCAACATTCTCGCCTGGAGCCCTCCTCCTGGATCCGCGTCTCGGCAGGAATGTGGGCTGTCACTTCTGTCCTCTCACGCCCTGCGGGATTTTCCCAGAGCCTTCGGGTTTGAGCCCAGCTGGAAGTGGCCCTCGTTCACACAGCCTGTCAGCACCTGCCTGGGCGTGGCACCTAGAGTGTGGCTCCGTGTGTGCGGCGCAGACGCCGTGGGGGTGTTTGGAGCCTCCCGCATGGCTCCCAGATGTCTTTTCTACGCAGCGCCCGCTGAGGAGGGGACGGATGAACAAAGTTGCCCAAGGCACTCTTTCGAGAGCGGGGAAATCGGGAGCGAAGTGTTTTGTTCATTTCGCAGACTCGGATGACAGACGAGCTTCCTCTCATGGCACTGCAGGGGCGGGTTCACGGCTTCCTCTCGGCCAGCAGCCTTAGCCTGGTTGTGGAGCTGGGCTGGGTTGGTGGAAGTCTCCTGCAGAAGCAGCCTGGGCTTCCTGAGAGGGGGACGGCGCCTGTGTGACTCAGAACGGCGCCGGCCTGTGCAGCCTCGTCGCCCAGCTCCGTTCTCGGCAGGAGCATCTCGTGCCCGGGACTCAGGCCCTTTTGTTTCTATTTCTTGCCTTTCCACTCATGAATGTCTTGGCGTCTCACTGATTCTTCAGCTGCGCCCTTGAAATTGAAGAGAGGGGCATCCCAGCCGCTGCTCCGGCACCCTGCCATCGCACGGCCTGTGCCAGCGACAGCAGCCCCAGGCACCTGTTGTGCTATGGCCACAGTGGACATGGAAGGGTGGCGAGCCTCCAGAAGGAGCCAGCACGAGCCTGGACTGTCCTTTCCTTGGGACCTGATTCACCTTGGTTAGACCCTAAAGGAGGGCTTCCCCTCACTTGGCACTGCTCACCTGGGGCCGGGTGGTTCTCTGGGGCGGGGCCATCTGGGCACTGCAGGGCTGAGCAGCACCCCTGGCCTCACCTACTTCCTGCCAGGAGCACCCTCAGTCGTGACAGCCACAGATGTCCCCAGACATGGCCAGGTGTCCCCCGGGGGACAGGACACCCTCAGTTGAGAGCCACCTGCTTGCTGTGGCTGCCGCTGTTACTGCTTTTGCCGAAGAGAGCCGCAGACTGGCTGCGGAGGCCGGACCTTCCCACTGCTGACAAGCACCTGGAGGATTAGTGTTTGCATTGCCAAGCAGAACAGTCTCTTCGCTGATGCGATCGCGGGGTCAGTCGTCCCCATTTACCTGGGGGCGGTAAATGGATTTCAGCCGTTCTGGAAGCTGCGGGTGACGTGGGCCTCAACATGGAGCTCTTCCTTTGGGGCCCCTGAGCCCGGAAGGGCGGCTTTCCAGGTTCCTGACAGATGAGCTGGAGTGGGGGTGGGGGGTTAGTTCTTTCTCGCTGTGCAGTTGGGTGGCCTGGGTGACCCTTGGAAGAAGGCGTGGGGACTGCAGACCCCACCCTAGGACTGAGTGTGGCCGCCCAGAGCGGCTGGGAGCGCCTGCACAGGAGGGTGCCTGGCGTCTCAAAGGCCTCTGGTGCCCAGCAGCCGACTGGAATCTGGGCTTGTTGGCCCAGAGGCTCACCCCCACCAGAGGAGGGAGCACGAGGCTGGGGATGAGGTTGGGAGCCCAGAGCGAGACGTGTGCCCCCGATAGCCCTGGTCCCTCAGCTCCTGGATGGGGCACCTGACAGGTGCTGGTCCTTGTCCTCTGCTGTTTTCTCTGCATGTCTCAGTGTCCAGGGTGGCCCAGGGCTTCCCTGGGGTGCTAGAATTCCACGTGGCTGCCAGGCTAGAGGTCCCGGGCCACAGTCTGCCCTCCCGCCCCAGTGGTGCCCTGGGCTGTGGTGTGGATTACTGCGTGCCTCTGTTTCTTCATTGGTCAGATGGGAACTTCAGCCTAGGGGATATGTGTTCTGAGCCCCAGCACACTCTGCACAGTGCCCAGCTCAGCACAGCTCCTGTCCTGCCCCACAGCCCCGGCCCCTGCCCCCGTCCCATGTGGCGCCGTCACCCTCCCTGCGCTTCCTGTCGGCCTGCTCCAGGCGGTGTGGGAGGACTGTGGGGTCGGATCTATCTCCCAGCATTTCCTAGTGCCTGGAAGTTGGGTCGCCCCATAGTGGTCTCGGCCAAGTCTAGCCACTAGAGTGAATCTCAGCTCCAGCCCCTGGTGTCCAGGTGCTTGTGGCCCCCAGTGGCCTCATGGTAGCTGGCGGGCGCAGTTCTTGTTTCCTGCTGCTAGAGGGCATGGTGGGCCGCAATGCGTATGACCAAGTGGGAAGAGTCCCGTTTTAAAAATGCCTTGCCCAGCATGTTGGGAGGCTGAGACGGGAGAATCACTTGAGGCCAGGAGTTCGAGACCAGCCTATGCAACAAACTGAGACTCCATCTCTACAGAAAATTAAAAAATAAAAAATGAGCTGGGCATGGTGGTGCGAGTCTGTGGTCCCCGCTACTCGGGATGCTGAGGTGGGAGGATCTCTTGAGCCCAGGAGCTGGAGGCTGCAGTGAGCTGTGATTGTGCCAGTGCACTCCAGACTGGGTGGCATAGCAAGACCCTGTCTCAGAAATAACAACAACAACCACCACACATGCCTCAAAATGTGAGTGTGTGAGCCTCCAGATGCCAGCACACACACACGCCCCATCCCCCATATTTCCTGAGTCTAATCCTGCACACACGTGTCAGGGTCGGCCCTGGTGCTGTCGGGGGCTGTGCCCAGCTTCCAGTCCTGGGAGATGGCTCTGCCCTAGCAGGAGAGGCCCCTATTGGCTGCAGAGTCTCCCGGAGAGTTTGATAAGGCAACAGAGTGGGCTGTTCCGAGGTGCAGATCTGGGGGTACTGGTCCCCGGGGAGCCGGTGTCACAGTCTGCTCTCTGGCCTCGCCCTGAGGCTCCGAGGGTGCCACCGACTCGCGTCTTGGTCTTGCAGATCATCCCCCCAAAGGAGTGGAAGCCGCGGCAGACGTACGACGACATTGACGACGTGGTGATCCCGGCCCCCATCCAGCAGGTGGTGACGGGCCAGTCGGGCCTCTTCACGCAGTACAACATCCAGAAGAAGGCCATGACGGTGGGGGAGTACCGCCGCCTGGCCAACAGCGAGAAGTACGCAGGGCGGGCGGCCTGACCCTGGCTCATGGGGGCCTTGGGGGCAGAGAAGGCGCGGCACACGCAGCCCCCATAGCACAGCTGGCCTGCTTCATGTGCCCGGCATGGGTGGCGGCAACCCCTGAGCCAAGGGTGAATCCGGACCCTCTCCCAGCCTGGGCTGACCCACACTGCCCTCACCTCAGCTTCCCAGGGCTCCCCAACACACAACGGGCGGCACCCAGTCCCTAGCCCTGGAGCACGTCCTCCACACCCTCCTGTGATGCCTGAGTGGCTCTCTGGCTGGCACAGGCACACACGAGGGCACAGACATGAGAGCACAGACACAGGTACACATGAGGTCACACAGGCACACACGAGGGCACAGACACAGGTACACACGAGGTCACACAGGCACACACGAGGGCACAGACACAGGTACACACGAGGTCACACAGGCACACACGAGGGCACAGACACAGGTACACATGAGGTCACACAGGCACACACGAGGGCACAGACACAGGTACACACGAGGTCACACAGGCACACACGAGGGCACACAGGCACATACGAGGGCACAGACACAGGTACACACGAGGTCACAGGCACATACAAGGGCACAGACACAGGTACACACGAGGTCACACAGGCACATACAAGGACACACAGGCACATACGAGGGCACACAGGCACATACGAGGGCACAGACACAGGTACACACGAGGTCACACAGGCACATACAAGGGCACAGACACAGGTACACACGAGGTCACACAGGCACATACGAGGGCACAGACACAGGTACACACAAGGACACACAGGCACATACGAGGGCACACAGGCACATACGAGGGCACAGACACAGGTACACACGAGGGCACACGGGCACATATGAGGGCACAGGTACACACGAGGGCACAGGCACAAGCACCCTCGAGGGTACATGTGGACACAGGTACACGTGGGCACACTTGCATCCATACACAGGCACACACAGTACACACGGACACACACATGTCCATACACAGGCACACACAGTACACACGGGCACACACATGTCCATACACAGGCACACACAGTACACACGGGCACACACATGTCCATACACAGGCGCACACAGTACACACGGGCACACACATGTCCATACACAGGCACACACAGTACACACGGGCACACACATGTCCATACACAGGCACACACAGTACACATGGGCACACACATCTCCATACACAGGCACACAGTACATGGGCACACACATGTTTATACACAGGCACACAGAGTACACACAGGTGCACACACATCCATACACAGGCACACACATGGGTACACACGGGCACACGTTTATACACAGGCACACACATGGGTACACACGGGCACACATGTCCATACACAGGCACACAGAGTACACAGGCACACACATGGGTACACGTGGGCATGTTTACTGGACACGGGCACACGCAGGCTCATACACATGCCTGTCAGGCACACCCATGTGGGCACACCCATGGGCACATGTGTGGGTACACATGGCACCTTCGTGTACTGGCAGTGTTCCGAGTGTGGGTCCCTGGTTCCACAGGCACAGCCACACACACCCTCTGTGCTGTGCAGGCCCATCCTGTCACTGTGCCCTCCTCCCTGTCTGTGGCCCCCGCCCTGTTGCTCTCTGAGGTCCACATGCCTTGTGGCTCTGGCACCAGGGCGGGGCCTGGTCTGTCCTGGTCGTCTGACCTTCCCAGCCCCCAGTCTGTCATCTGAGCTCGGTCTTTGCCACCCAGGGATGACAAGAGCCACCCAGGGCCTCTGTCCCGTGCCCACTCCCCCTGGCTTGTGTTCTGATGTGGGTGCTCCGGGCCAGGATAGCTGAGGAGGCTGCTTGGGTTTGCACCACTTGTCACCCATGGAAATGCTCTCTCCCACACTCAGGCGGGTTACGTGGTACTCCAGGCAGGGGCAGTGGGCAGTCTTGAACAGAGCCCTTCCTGCCTCTGTCATGGGTGCCCTGGGTTCCTGGTGGCTGAGGGTGGGCTGTGTGGCACCCATGCCCCACCCTGAGCTGGTTTTGGGGCGTTTGTTCACCAGGTACTGTACCCCGCGACACCAGGACTTTGACGACCTCGAACGCAAATACTGGAAGAACCTCACCTTCGTCTCCCCGATCTACGGGGCCGACATCAGCGGCTCTTTATACGATGACGTGAGTACCAGGCCCTGGGGAAGAATAGGACCAGCTTCCTTGCGGGTGGCGGCGGGGAGGGCCCTGAACGGAACTCTGCCTTAGCAGATGAAGCTTCCAGGTGGGCAAGGTTGACCACCTCGCCCGGCTCTGGCTTCGGGCCGTGTCCTGCGGTCAAGAAAGAGGAAGCCAGGCTTTTTCTGATTTTTGCAGGGCCCCTCCAGCCACACCCTGCAGCCTCTGTCCTGAGCGCGTGCTGGCTCCGCCTCTGGCCTCAGCAGCTGGTACACGGCATGTTACGCACACGTGTATTGTTCTAGTCCCTGTGCTCGTCTTCCTGGCACGGGGGAGCCTCGAGTCCTCAGCCAGCCAGGCCGTCTGCTGGATTTGGCTCCAGCCTGCTCCCTGCCTTGCGCCTAGGGCCCCAGAGACTGGGGTGAGGGGGCCCTGTTTCCCTTCTGGGGCCTGGCCTGCTGGACATCCCCTTGTCCACACAGCCCAGGCCCTCCATGAGGGCAGCTGGCGGGCACCCCCAGAGGCCCGGCCTCAGGGATAAGGCCCCCACGGCCCTGCTGGACGCCAGCTATGTGGCCTGTGTGGTGGGCGTGTGTAGAGCAGTGTCGGGAGGTTGTGGCCAGCCTTGCCCTGCCCTGCGTGGTTTAGCCCCGCGGCGCTGTGGCCCGCGCAGGACTCGGTTTGCTCTCTGAGCTGAGGATGCCGGTTTCTCACACAGAGGATTCTGTTCAGTGAGCCCCCCTTGGAGAAGCTGAGGAGCCCCCTCAGCGTGGAGCCAGGCATAAGGCCGAGGCATCGGCCAGCTTTGCTCCCGGCCCCACCACTTCCTTCCTGGGCCTCAGTTTTCTACTGATAGAATGGGGCATGGGGTGTGCAGCTGTCCTCCCAGGACGGTGCCCACTTTCCCCCAACTCCACAGCAGGTGGCAGGCTTGTGGAGGGCGCACGGCCCGGCCTCGGGGACCTTTCAGCCCCTGAGCACGCAGCTGCAGTCCTGGTGTGGCAGACCCGTCCCATCTGCACATGTGGCCGCCCCGCACCTGGTTCAGCTCGAGGGGAATAGCTGTGTGCCGGGGGAGCGCGGGCAGTTGCAGCAGCTTCGGCCACCTCCTTTTCCCTCCTGTCCCAGTGCACACGCGGTTCCCACGGGGGCTTGGCCACCCCAGGCCTTGCACCTCCCAGAGTCCTTGCTCGAAGGAGTGTGGATTTGGCCCCAGAAGCCAGCTCGACAGCAGAGGGTCCAGCGGTAGATTGACAGGGAGCTGCTTCCTGGAGCTGCCTCTGGTCTGGCGGTGCTTGCTGCCCGGGCGGTGAGCAGTGGCTGGCTGTCATGGGTGGCAGCCATGACACCCATGGTGGTGGGTGGCCTGCTTCCCTGCTTGCTTTGAAGCCCTCCCGGCTGAGTCAGAGGGGCACAGCCTCCCAGGCCGCCTGTTTCCCACGTCAGGCAGCTGAGGCTTGGAGCGGCCCTCTTGGACAGCCCGAGTTCAGGACTGGGCCTCCCCTTTCTATCTGGTTTCAGGCCCACTTTCCGCCCTTGCCCTTGGCGCCTCCTGGAAGCTGCTGAAGTAGGGGGAGGCCAGGGCTCCATTCACCTGGGCCAGGATGGCAGGCTTGCCCCTGATCTGTGGCCCTGAGGGAGGTCTTCCCAGTGACTCTGACAGGAAACCCCTGACTTTCTAGGAGCCTCGGAGCCACTTTGATCCCTGCAAACATGACCAGAGCCATCTCCCTGGCCGCCAGGCGGGAGCAGGAATAGGCATTGGCATCGTGGGCAGGGGGTGGTCAGCGTCAGCAGCCTGCCTGCTTTAGGTGGGGACACCGAAGCCCAGAGCTGGGACGTGTGCCCGTGGCCATGCGCTCTGTGCCCAGTCCGGAGCTGGGGCCGTCTGTGGGAGGGGCAGCCGCTGTGCCCGCTCACTGGTCACTTCCCACCCTGACCTCCGCCGCAGCCTGGACGGTGCTCCCAGTGTGCGCGGGTCGGCGTCAGGGACTTCTGGCAGCCCCAGCATCCCAAGTGTGCCGCTGCCCGGGGGGGCGTTCACGCCCGGGGACCTGAGGGCCTAGGGCTGCGTGCTGGTGCGAGTGTGCAGTCAAGCCTGCCTGGCACGCGGCTGGTGTTGTCCCCGTGGCATTTAGGGTGTTTGGATTAGGCGGGATCTTTTGTTTATGGATCCGTTCCTGTTTTAAATAGCACCCTTCAGATGTCATGCACATGCCCCTCAATTCACCCATTTAAAAAGTACAATTCATGGGTTTTAATACATTCCTGCAGAGTCATGCAGCAGTTATTACTGTCAGTTCTGGAACATTCCATTGCTGCGAAAGGAAACCCTGTCCCCATCAGCAGCCACTCCCCGCTCTCCCTGTCACCCCCAGGCTGGCACCCACGCATCCTCTTCCTGTCTCTGGATGGGGCTGTCTTGGACATTGCATAGAAACGGGATCACACACTGCGTGGCCTTTCCTGTCTGCTTTCTCTCACCAAGTGTGACATCCTCAAGGTTCATCCACACTCTGGCCTGTGTCAGAGCCCCATTCCTTTTCACGGCTGAATAATACTCTGCTGCAGGGATATACAGGTTGAATATCTTTTATCTGAAATACATGAGTCCAGCGTATTTTAAATTTGGGATTTTTTTAAATTTTGGAATATTCGCACATACATACTGAGATATTTTGAAGATGGGACCCAAGTCTGTAGTAGTTTGTCCTTGCATTGCTGTAAAGAAGTACCTGAGGCTGGGCATGGTGGCTCACGCCTGTAATCCCAGCATGGTGGGAGGCTGAGGCCGCGGGATCACCTGAGGTCAGGAGTTTGAGACCAGCCTGCCCAACATGGCGAAACCTTATCTCTACTAAAAATACAAAAAATTAGCTGGGCCTGGTGGTGCCTGCCTGTAGCTACTCAGGAGGCTGAGGCAGGAGAATCGCTTGAACCCTGGAGGCAGACATTGCAGTGAGCTGAGATGGTGCCACTGCACTCTAGCCTGGTGACAAGAGCAAAACTCTGCTTCAAAAAAAAAAAAAAAAAAAAAGTCCGGGCGCAGTGGCTCACGCCTGTAATCCCAGCACTTTGGGAGGCCAAGACAGGTAGATGGTGAGGTCAGGAGATTGAGATCATCCTGGCCAACATGGTGAAACCCCGTCTCTACTAAAAATACAAAAAATGAGCCGGGTGTGGTGGCGCGCGCCTGTAATCCCAGCTACCCGGGAGGCTGAGGCAGGAGAATCGCTTGAACCCTGGAGGCGGAGGTTTCAGTGAGCCGCGATTCTACCACCTCCCGCCAGGGCGAAAGACCAAACCCCAAAAAAAAAAAAAAAGAAAAAAGATTACTAACACCATGGCTAGGCACGGTGGTTCACACCTGTAATCCCAGCGCTTTGGGAGGCCAAGGTGGGTGGATTACTTGAGGTCAGGAGTTTGAGACCACTCTGGCCACTGCATTCCAGCCCGGGCGACAAAGCAAGACTCTGTGTCTGGAAAGAAAGAAAGGACAAGGAAAGAAAGACCTGAGTCTGGGTAGTGAGTAACGAAAAGCTTTAATTGGTTCATGGTTCTGCAGGCTCTGCAGGAAACATGGCTGGGGAGGCCTCAGGAGTTGCGGCAGAAGGTGAAGGAGAGGCTGATTCGGCTGTCGTGTACAGCAGGAGCAGGAGGACGAGAGAGTGGGGGGCGGTGCCGTGCGATTTTAAACAGCCAGGTCTCGCGAGAACTCACTATCGTGAGAACAGCAGCAAGGGGATGGTGCTAACCCCTTCGTGAGAAATCCGCCCCCGCGATCGGCCACCTCCCCCCCGGCCCGACCGCCAGCACTGGGACCTGCAGTTCGACATGCGATTTAGTGGGGTTTCGGAGCCAAGCCGTGTTAAAGTCTACACACACAATTCAGCTGTGTTTCACGTGTACTTTAAACATGCAGTTTTTAATACTTTGATGCGTGAAACGAAGTTTTGGCCATGTCTTAACTGTGGTGACCGGCCACATGAAGTCAGCTGCGGAGTGTTCACTTGTGGCGTCCTGCCTGTACTCAGGACATTTTGGACCTTGGCGCATTGTGGATTTTGGATTTTGAGGGCAGAGGTGTCCACTGCATACCACGTTGTGTTTGTCGGTTCGTGTGCTGATGGACATTTGTGTTGTGTTCTCTCTCTGCCTGTTATGAACAATGCGACCGTGAACGTTTCTTGTGTGTTTGTGCATTTTTGTTTTTGAGACGGAGTCTTGCTCTGTCACCCAGGCTGGAGTGCAGTGGTGCGATCTCAGCTCACTGCAACCTCCGCCTCCCGAGTTCAAGTGATTCTCCTGCCTCGGCCTCCTGAGTAGCTGGGACTAGAGGCGCCCTCCACCACACCTGGCTAACTTCTACATTTTTAGTAGAGACAAGGTTTCATCATGTTGATCAGGCTGGTCTCAAACTCCTGGGCTCAAGTAATCCTTCCACCTCGGCCTCCCAAAGTGCTGGATTACAGGCGTGAGCTACCGCGCCTGGCCGTTTTTTTTCCGTTTTTGAACTGGGCTGTTTGTTGTCTTCTGGTTGAATTGTGAGAGTTCGCTGTGTATTTTGGTTATCAGTTGTGTCTTGCAAGTTTTTCTTTTTGGTCTGGGGCTTGTCTTTCTGTTCCGGATCCCGCCTGACTGTTTTTGAGTAAAAGTCCAGCCTCAGAGCCCAGTGCAGGAGAGCCTCTGGGTTGGCTGACTCTGCAGCCACATACAGGCTGTGCGGGCCCAGGCCGACCCGCCACAGGCTCCAGAGGAAGCTTCAGGGCTTCCTTGGCACGTATTTGGCACGCCTGACCTATGCACCAGCTTCCTTTTACAGTTGGGGAAACTGAGCCCAGAGCAGAGAAGCTACTTGATCTGGTCCCAGGATGAATTCTTGCCTGGATCACCCTGGGCCCAGGGCCTCCCTCCTCCCCTCGGGGTCTCCTCACTGCCTCCCTCTCCACCTCCCTCTGTGCCTCTCTGGGCTCCTGCCAGGGCTCACCTTGCAAAGGAACCGCTGGTCCTGCCAAGTCCCAGGGCCAGTCAGGCTGGCACGGGAACAGCTGGTGTGGGGTGGATTCCGGCTTTGAGAGGAGCTCAGGTTCCCAAGCGTGTCTAGGTTCCTCTCAGCCTCTCGGCAGGCCGTGAGCCTCTCCAGAGACTGCAGCGACTAATGCGTATTTTATGAGCTCTTAGGACAGGACAGGGTTTGTTTGCTTGTGGCATTAAGAATAGATGTGCCTGGTGGGTGGGTGTTCATCCTTGTTTGCCCGGTTCTGAAAGCTTTCTTCATCCCCTCGGTCTGAAGCTGTGGCTAGGCTGTCACTGAGCCTCAGCTCCGGTATCATCGCTGGGTTAGCCCCACGTGGTGACTGTTTCTCTCCTTCCGTGTCATTGACTTAGAGGCACGTTAATTATGCACAACCAAATTGCAAGTTTCGACATAAGGCCCCCACCCCAGCAGGAAGCACACGGCTCAGTGGAATCTGGCAGGCCCTGCCCGCCTGGTGCACATTGGCATGTGTGCTGGGGCCTTTCCTGGAAGGGCCAGGCTGGCATTGAGCCCTTCAGAAAAGGTGTCTAGGCTGGGTATGGTGGCTCATGCTTGCAACCCCAGCACTTAGAGGGGCCAAGGTGGGAGGGACCCTTGAGCCCAAGAGTTTGAGACCAGCCTGGGCAACAGAGTGAGATCTCACCTCTACAAAAAAAAAAAAAACTAAAAATTAGCCAGGCATGGTGTCCTGCACCTGTAGTCCCAGGTACTCAGGAGACTGAGGCGGGAGGATCACCTGAGCCAGGGCAGTCGAGGCTGCAGCGAGCTCTGATCGTGCCACTGCATTCCAGCCTGGGCGAGAGTCTCACGCAGAGAAAGCAAGCATGTAGAGGTCTGTAGGGTGTGACCAGCCCCGGGGGTCTCAGGTACTGGGGTGGGCCAAGGTGGGCAGCAACCCCCTGGGCCTCGAGGGCGCTGGGGGTGGCTGGGTGGTTGCCGATGCTGCTCTGCCGCCCTGCAGGATGTGGCGCAGTGGAACATCGGCAGCCTCCGCACCATCCTGGACATGGTGGAGCGCGAGTGCGGCACCATCATCGAGGGCGTCAACACGCCCTACTTGTACTTCGGTATGTGGAAGACCACCTTTGCCTGGCACACCGAGGACATGGACCTGTACAGCATCAACTACCTGCACTTCGGGGAGCCCAAGTCCTGGTGAGTGTCTGCGGCCTGCCGGCCCGGAGCCCCTCAGGACGGGGTGGATCCCGGGTACGTGGCTGGGTGTGGTGGCAGGGTGAGGCCGGTAAAGGTTGGGGTGTGAGGGCGGGAGGCTTTCCAGACCGGCCGGGGTCACCCACTAGCTTTGCGGAGGGGGATGTGCATCCCCAGAGCCGAAGCTCCCAGGCTGCCAGAGCTTGTGCTCTGTACCCCAGAGTGCCTCCCATTGAGCTGTGAATGGCCCCAGGTGTCCCCAAGGCCAGGAGTGCGGTCTTGAGCCCCTGACTGCCAGGCTGTGCTTTCTCACGGCTGAGTGGAGATGATTCCTGGTGAAGGGTCACCGTCCGCAGTGCCCAGAAGGGGCCTGGCTGGGATGACCCTGCAGCCGTTCCCTTGCAGCCTCCACCCTGGCACGCCTGGGCCAGGCCCTACAGGCAGGAGGGCTGGGCGGGGTGCCACAGCCACGTGTGGAGCACAGTGGACATGCCCCTTCCCAGGAGATACCAGCACAGCTGGGGTGCTGCTGCGGTGGGCTGGGTTCCAGGATCGTCTCCTGGCTTTCTGTGCACGTCCGCAGCGAGGCCGTGTGCGTGAGTGTGCACGTGCGCGCGTGCAGGTGAGTGCTCATGCATGTGATTGTGTGTGTGTGTGTGTGTGTGTGTGTGTGTGCAAGCACGCGTGCGCGGGCCGCTGTGTCGCTGGGCTTCGCTGGTGACTGGAAACCCTGCTGAGTGTGTGGTGGGGCTTCCCTGCGCAGTCCTCCAAAGGCCACTAGGTGGCGCTCCCGCCCTTCCCGGGGCTGCGCTCGCTCCTGTAATCTTCGCAGGCCATCCTGGCTCAGAGGAGGGCAGAGCCTCTGCCTGGAGGGCGCAGGAGTACCGCCCTGCCTGGCCCTTCTCTGGGTTGGGGCTGTAAGCAGGGGAGAATGGTCTACCTCTTCCTTTACCAAAGCACAAAGAGCACAAAATGCAGGAAGGGGCAAGCCGTGTGTACCCTCACAGGCGTCCCGAGTGCAGGTGCAGCCCGAGGGGGAGGTCCTGTAGAGGACCCCCTGTGACTTGGGGTGAAGGGAGGTCTCCCAGGGGTGCATGAGTGGTGGAGCGCCCGAGGCGTGGCCAGGTTTGTGCCTCTGGAGGGACTGTCTGCCCTGCGCAGAGTCCCTGCCAGGCAGCAGGTGGCAGGCAACCAGTGAGGCCCGTTGGCAGCCACAGAGAGAAGCAGGGGGTCATGGATGTTGGAGGTGGGGGACCAGCCAATGTGTCAGACGTGAGGACGTCAGCGCCAAGGCTGGCAGCACCAGTGGCTCCGTCTCCCGTGAGGGGCCCTGGTAGTTGCTGGCGGTCGCGGGAGCCTGGGCTGGGGTAGGCCCTGTGGCTGGGGCTGCAGTGGGTCAGATGCCAGGGGTCCCTGCTGACTGGTCGGAGGGGCCTCCGCAGGAAGAGGGGACAGTGGCTCCCTGGAGGTGGCAGGGACCCGGCCACAGGCTGTCAGAGGGACTAACAGGGATGCACCAGGAGCCAAGGGCCTCTCCTGAGCTGGTTCGTCCAGGATGCAGCCACTGAGGGCGTCCCTCACCCCTCCCCGACTGCCCCTTACCGCACCCCCCCCCCCAGTTTCACCTGGTGCCTCGGGTGTCCAGCTGTCACCCCGTCCACACTTCTCTATGACCCGATGTGGGAGATTGCTCAGGGGAGATGGCCAGCGGCAAGGGCAGCGTTGATTGCACAGCAGTTCTTCTGGGAAGGGAAATTCTGGAAGCACCTTGACCTTGGTCTTGATTTCTGCCCAGGAAGGGGTGAGGATGGCAGGGGTGAGGCCCTATGTTGTTCAAGTGTGGCCTGGCAGAAGGGGCCTGAGAGGTGCCACACTGTGGGCTTGACCTGCAGGACCCTTCCCCAACCCCCCAGAGCTCCCTACTTGCCTCCACAGCCAGCTCAGCCCTCTTAGCACATGGGGCCCCTTCCCTGCTCTCTCCCCAGGGCTGAGGCAGGGCCCAGGTGTTCCCACAGCACCCAAGCCTGTCCTTAGGGCAAACATAGACCAGAGGACCCCCGCGTTAGCCAAGGTCTACTGTGTGCCGTCAGCCCTCTCCAGCAGATGGCGGGGGCCCTGGTCACCCCGTGTCCCAACTCCTAGTCGGGGCCTGGCACAGAGCGGCTCTCAGATCCTCACTGTGTGTTGTGGAAGCTGACTTCCCCTCCAGGCTGCCCTTCCAACTTGCAGGGGGTGGGGAGGAGGTACCTGGAAAAGGTACCTGACCTCTGGTCCCTGGGCTGGCGTTCAGGAAGCTACTTAGGACTTCAGGGGGCGCTTTCCTCCCCTCCTCAGGCCCTGGGGGTAGGTGGGCCTCCCAGCCGACAGATCACCGAGGCCACCACCTGTCTGGCTGGCTGTCTCCCTAATTACACCGCTTTGCTTGCCTCTGCAGCCGCTGAATTGCAGCCATTTCAGAGCATTCTGGTGTCATTTTAAAAGAAGTGTCGACGTACCCAGGTTTACAGCATTTTATTAAACCTTTCTGGGTCTGTTGCTACTTTGGTAGCTTGATTTGTGTCAAAGTGACGTGAACAACCTGGTGTCGGTAACAGACAAATGTGCTTCAAAAGGCCGGCGTTCTGTGGTGCTCGCAGGCAGCGGGGCTGCGGATATCTGAAGCGACTGACGCCTCGAAATCTCTGTGAAGCCAGACCCCGCACCTGCACCTCCCCCCCGGGCTGCCCGCAGTCCCTTCTGTCAGCCAGGCCAGGGGCCGGAGCGCAGGTGGGTGTGGAGAGGGTCCGAGCTTCCACCCGACCCTGCGTCTTCCTGGGGTTGGGGGTGGCCTGGGTTGGTGACCCGAAGGCCATACCCCGTAGAACCCCCTGCCTCAGGCTGCACTCCTTGCCCTAGATCAAGACTCTCCTGGGGCCAGGCGCAGTGGCTAACGCCTGTAATCCCAGCACTTTGGGAGGTCGAGGCGGGCGGATTGCCTGAGCTCAGGAGATCGAGACCAGTCTGGCCAATGTGGTGAAACCCTGTCTCTACTTAAAAAAATAAATAAATAAATAGCAGGCTGTGGTGGTGGGTGCCTGTAATCCCAGCTTCTCGGGAGGCTGAGCTAGGAGAACGGCTTGAACCTGGGACGTGGAGCTTGCAGTGGGCTGAGCTGGAGCCACTGCACTCCAGCCTGGGCAACAGAGTGAGACTCCATCTCAAAAAAAAGAAAGACTCTCCTGGAACCTGGGCCCGGGGTGGGGTGATTCAGCCGAGCTGACCTTCCAAGGCCAGCCCCGCGCTGCTCCCCGCAGGCCTCCCCTCCCCCACCTGCACTGTGGCAGCCCCTTCCTGCAGGGCTCACCCTCCTGCGCTGCCCAGGCCAGGCACTAAACACACGTCCCCACGAGGCTGAGCACCACGCTGCCAGCGGCGTCACACACCACATGGCCCCTCGAAGAGAGTTCCAGGCTGGGGTGGGAGGACGTCGGGCCTCGGCCAGCTCTGGGAGAGTGCCCACTGTGCAGTCCTGTGCAGCCACATGCTGGGCTGGGGCCTGGCTAAGGCTTTGGGTGCCCCGTTGCCCCCAACCCGTCAGAGACCCTGCAGGCAGTGGGTGGTGGGGTTTGCAGGGGCTGCGGGCTACTGCCAAAAGCAAGATCTCTGGCCTCACTGCAGCAGGGAAGCCAGATGGGGAAGCAGCGAGTCCCTGCGGCTGTAGGGACTCCCAGGGATGTGGTGAGCTGACGGGACATGGCCAGCTGCCTGCACCCGTGTTCTAGGGCAGCTAGAGAAAGGCCCTTTTGAGAAGTGCTGTGGGGGGAGCCAGTGACGGTACGTGGCAGCCGCAGAGGCCTCTACTTAGGCTTAGGGGAGAGGGTCCCCAGGCTCCCTCCAGCTGCGCTTGTCAGGAGGGGGGGTCATCCTGCTCCCAGGTAAAGCCCCCAAGAGCAATGGGGTGGGGAAGTGCTTGCCTTGACTGTAACCTTGACCTGCCTGTGACCCGCAGCGGTCTGACAGTCCTCCATTGCGCTGGGCAGGATGCAGTTCCCCAGGGTCTCATCTCTGGCTGTTTCCTCTGGCGTCTCTCTGCCCGCCCCCTCCTGCCTTCATTTACCTTGGACACACTCAGTCCCCCGTGCAGGTGCGGGAGCTGAGGGTCTCAGAGCTTGTGCTCCTGAGAAGGGCATGGAGCTCGCACTTGCTTGTGGCCATCCTGGCCTGCCAGGAGCCCGACCCTCCTGAGCACGGTGGAGAGGGGCTGCCGCGGAGGGCGGGGAGAGGGGATTATCAGAGAACTCCTCCAGCCTCCTTGACCTTTAAGCAGCCGCAGGCTGAGAATTTTCCCTTTTGATTCGGCTGTACCTCGAGTTTTCTCTCCAGCGTTTTCACTCAGGGGAATTTCACAGCATCTTTTCTTCTTGCTGCCAGGGAAACTGGACTCCTAGCAGGCACAGCCGTCTTTCACTTCCTCAGTGTCCCTGGAGGTGTGCGTGCGTGGGCGCGTGGGCGTGGACGCGTGTGTGCACTGAGGAGCCGTGCCCCCGGGGCTGGGGGCGGGGTGGATCCCAGGCTGCAGTGGACCAGCCCGGGCTCCCTGCCCTGTGGCCACGGGTTGGGGGAGGCACAGCGTGGGGTCGATGGGTCTGTTGCCAAGCCAGGCTCTTCTTGGGGTGGAGGCTTCAGGGCTGCTCCCTCGCCCCTCTGCTGCCCACCTGCCTGCACCTCAGGACCTCTTGGAAGCCCACACCAAGGCAGCTGCCCTCCTGCTGGCAGCTCCTGCTTGGGGGCAGACGTCTCCCTCCTTCATGGGCTCCCTCAGCCTGGCTGCAGGTGGCGCTGCTGATCCCCACAGTGGCCTCTGCCCTGCCCTCTGGCGTGGGACCTGGGAGTCTGGTGGGTGATGGAGCCGGCGAGCCCATCACAGGCAGTAGCCATGGGCCCGCGGGGTGGTGCACTGGTGCCTGGGGACCTGTGTGGGTCTGTGCTGCTGCTGGTGAGCCAGCCACTGGGCCTTCCAGCTT